GTTCGAATCCCATCCTCGTCGGACTCCTTTTCCACAATCGAAGGCACTTCAACATTATTTGTTACCGATACACGCTGTACATTAGCAATGAACACACGGACGAAGGCCTGCAACTCGTGGAGGTGTCAGTATGAGCGACGTGATCTGCCAAATGTTTTTTTCTCCTCTGAACTGTCTCCTCCCCCTCCTGCCACCCCGCCTCCCCCCATTCACCCGTGGCTTAGTTTAATCACCAAAGTCTTTAATTTGTTTTTGCACACAGACACACACACACACACACACACACATATATAGATATATATTATCAGTGATATGGAGCCATGAAACCATAACAACACATTCTTTCCACATACTTTAATTTGTTCATCTCCTTGGTCAGACATTATTTCCTGTTAGAACCTAGATAGTCTAACAAACCACACAATATTTCATCAGTTTATTGGTTTTATTGGATTCTAAAAACATGATGAGAAAGTGAATTATTTACAAAGGGTGTGCGACAGAAAGTATTACGTTTTCCTTCATGATTGGGAGAGCCAGTCAGCTGTACTAAATCCAAATGGTAGTTTCAGTGACCAGCCCTGCACCACAAGGCAAATGTTATCACTTCAACACATCTGTGTGCATGTGGGTGCACCTATGTTTGTTTATTTTAAGGTTCATGCTTGGGTTTTGCCGTTCCTCCTGTCAGGAGGCGTTGTAGGGAGTATCCAGCGATAGCAGTTTGAGAAGCTCAGGCTCTTGTCCACAGCACAGCTGGTGCAGTAGACGATCCCGAGAGCCAGCATCACTACGAGGAACACACACAGAGGCACCAGCAGGGCCACCAGTAACCAGCTCTTGTCATGCTTCCGTTTACCTGCACCAGATCCAGCCCCTACATCCACTGTGCTGCTGACATCCTCCGTACTATCCGTCTTGGATACCTCCCCATCCCTAGTCCCGGTGGCTGATCCATTTGCAGTCTCTGCTCCCACCCCATCACTAGCTTCTTTACCTCCTGCCTTAGCTTCAGCCTCGTGATCAATTTCGTTGCCTGTGTTGCCTTTTTGCGTTGGGGATGGGGCCGTCTGATATCGCTTTGGGGATAGGACATCCCATTGGTTCAGGTGATTATCTGACCCATGAGTCATGTCAGGGGAGAGTCCCTCAGGGGCTTCTGTCTGCCAGCCAACGTCAAAGTTAGTGTCAGCTTCAAAGTTCGGGTCCGGGGTGAATAAGGTGGACCAGGGAATATCATGGTTAGGGTCCACGTCAGGTATGTGTCCGGAGTCACTGGGGTCAGGGGTCAGTGTGGAATATTCTTCATCTTCAGGCGACGGCTGGCAGGTAAGTCCATCTGGCTGAAGGTCATAGCCATTGTCACAGTAACACTGGTACCCTCCCATGTAGTTGAGACACTGCTGCTGGCAGGGTGACTCCCCCACACACTCATCGACATCTACACATTCTCCTCCACTGCCCAGCTCATACCCGGAGTTACACAGGCATGTGAAGGACCCCACTGTGTTCTCGCAAGCGCCTTCGCAGCTGCCCTCATCGAGGCACTCGTCGATGTCCACACACTCGCCCTCGTCATCTGGCTGGTACCCGGGGTGGCAGGTGCAGTGGAAGGTGCCTGGGATGTTGACACAGACTTGAGGGCATGGTTGCTGTTGGCATTCATCTACATCGGAACATTTGCGGCCATCTGGACCCATTTGGTAGCCGGGGGGGCATGTGCAGCGGATGCCCCGAGGTGTCTCCACACAGTCGTACTCACACCCCATCTCCACACAGATCTCTTTGATGTGGGGCTGGTCAGTGGGACCGGCGGAGTCGGAGGATAATTCAGGGGGGTCAGTTGGGCTCAGGGGGTCAGGCTTGCAGCTGTACCCGTCCTCATCTATCGTAAAGCCCTCAGAGCAGTAACAGTAGTAGTCTGTCTCTGTGTTCTGACAGTACTGCTCACATCCGTGGTCCCCGCTACACCAGTCCTGGTTCTGTGGAGCTGCACCGGAGGAGCAGAGGGGGGCATCCCTTGACCAGCCCACTGTCTCGTCATCTCTCTCCATGCACAGCACCGTCTGCACAGCAGGGTCATGTGGGCCTGAACTGTCTGCAGGGCAGGGTAGAGCAGCTACAGACCCATAGGGCACGTGAGTCAGCAGGGTGCTGACAAGGTGAAATGTCGTGTTGTAAACAGCTGGACCGCTACCCTCGTCCTCCAGGGGTGGACACATTCCTTTGGAGTTGTACTGGCAAACATATCCATCCAAAGCCAGGGCGCAGGAGCCGTCGAGCCATCGGAAATTGTCGTTGCTCTCACGTCCACTCTCAGACGTGTGGACGGTAATGGCCACGCAGCGAGGGACCGCACAAGTCCCGGGGCTGTCTTCACGGAGCCAGTTGATAAACTGCCCATCCTGGTCTCCTGTTGGAAAATAAAAACAGGGTCAGTAAAAGCAGAAATTCCGTGATCTTTTGTTTTAGTTCAGATTTCTTTCAGATCTATGTGGCACATTTAAAATATCAATCTGTAAGATTATCATCATTAAAGCTTCCATTTTGTTTGTGTACTTATTCTCTTTCAAATTATTCTCATGGCAGGTTTTCTGCTTTTAGAAAGATGAGAAATTCCTGGGAAAAGTCTGTGCAGTCTATGTTTTGTAGCCAATCATTATAATTTTTTCTGGGTTGGCTCTGTGATGGGACAGTGCTGGAGCGTTGCTGTCTGTCACAGTGCCTTTATCTACCACTAGGCGTCGCCAATGTCAGATATTTTCAAAGTCTGCACAAATAGACTTGAAACACACCTCATTTGTCTTGGTCATATTTTTGCTGCAGTAGTATTCACATGGTAAAATTTGTGGTTTAACAGATGAGTTGCCCTTCTATTAACGTTTTGGCAGACCTGGCACTGCATGGCACATTCCCCCACAGTAAATGCTACACAAATAAAGTTGAAGGATCTGCATTTTTATTGTCTGTATATGAACATACTTGAGTTGACCTCCAGTCAGCGCCACACCCACAATTGATTGGAGTGATTGTTGTTGAATTACTTAATTAATTACTTAATTAATTAACAAAAAGTATTTTGTTTTGGTGTGAGCACCTCAGAAAAAAACTGGCATTCACATTCATTGTATTGAACTGTAGGAAGAAAATACCAAACCCTGGTTAAATAAAACCCGAACTATCCGCATTGCTAGATACCACTGGGGATAAGTGAGGAAACATTGGGTAAACCAGCCCTTTAAATCATGGCAAATGGAAAAAACAAGTAAGCTGGCCGCAAAACTCTTGAAATTTTAAAGTCTTTTCTAACTGAAGACCAATGCAGACACTTTGGGTGATAAAAAAACATCTGGTTTTCAGTGGACGCCGCTTGTGTAATGACTAAATCAGGCTGAGGGGTAGCAGTGAGGTCAAAAGAGGACTGAACTTCGGCTGTCGCGCCAGCTCTGTCTCTGTGAAACAAAAGAAGTTAATGTAATAACCATCCAGTTAGTGCAGAGCTCTGGAGGCTGGCCCAGGTACCAAAGTCTGAGAGAGGTTAGGGTTAGGAGCCAGCACAATGGTTTAATTGTTTAATAGTCTAACAGACTCATAAACTCTTGATACAACTGATGTGAGTGTGGTAATGATACTGAAGTAGGCTGAATTGTTGTGATTCAAATTGATTTAATGAAAGTTTAGGAAGGTCTATTGTTGTATCGCTGCCAGAACCAATTTAGTCAAGAAGGCAATTAACTAACTAATGGATTTTGAACAGATTTAGCCTCTGTTATACTGACACACATATTTTCCATTAGCTCACAGTCAAAACTTTTTTAGTGCAGATGATTAAAAAGTTGACTGGGGGAGGGAAGCTTAAAAGCTTAATCAAGAAAAACCACAACATTATGTACCTTTCCCTATTTTGGGGCAATTTTATCTGAGCTCACTTCCTAGAATGCAATAAAATGGCTGATATGGTGATGAAGGTCAATATTAGGAACAGTGAGGGGTCAAATGTCAAAAAGGTGAGACTTTGCCTGTGACCCAGACGAATCCTCTGAGTGGTCTGGTGGATGAACACTGCCGTGGTGGTCTGTGTAGCCCAATCCAGAGGCGTAACCTCGACCTGGTCCCTTGTGCCTCGATGGCCGAAAGCAGCTCATGGACCACACCCGCTGCCTCGTCGGTATGCATCGTTGCCAGTGTCCCACCTCGCTCCCGGCAGCTCCGCCCAGCCTCCCTGAACGTTCTCTTCTGGAGGAAGACAGCGTAGCATCCATCCTTGTGGCAGAGTGCGTCTTTCTCTGCCAGCTGAGCCCTGGCTGCTGGCTGCTCCACCTCCATCTCCCTCAGCCTCTGGCCTCGACTTCCAGGAGCCAGACAGACCATCAGCAGCCACAGGACACACAGGAGACTCATGCTGCTGCAGCTGCTACTGCTCCTGATTGTCTTTTGCATCCTCCACCAAGACATGAGGTTTAAACTAGGCCAACATTCAAATGAGCACCACAACCTTACTGTTATAATAAATAGACTAATAAAGGATATTTTTTGTGACCTCCTATCCAAACAAACCTGATTTAAATTCACCTACTTTAATTAGTTTAAAAAACAGAAACTTGCCAAACCAAACTTTTTTTTTCTATACTAGTGTATTTAAATAATTTATATGCTCAAATAGACCTTTTTACCTTTTTTACTTGAAATAATTTGAATCAAGTAAACCAACAACTGACATTGGATTACCTTAATTTACCTTGGATTTCCCAACCCCTTAGAAAAATAGCCCTATAGTGCAGAATCGGTCAAACTCCATTCATCAGCAAGCTGTCAGCACCACTGCCACAGTAAAGCAGATTTTACCAGATCCTATATAAAACTAATAGAAACCAATGCAGTCCAGTGGAGTCCCCTAGAAAGTCCAGCTGAGTCCAGTACAGTCCAAAATAAAGTCCAGTGAAGTACCAGTAGAGTCCAGGGTTTAAAATTGTTGAATGAAGCAATCTGCCCTTCAGCTAAGCCCAAAAGAGTCCATATATGAATCTGAAGAATTTCAGTGACAGAACCCCTCTCCTGTATCTGATCCTGCTGGGGCTTTCTTGCCTCTGCAAAGTTGGCCTGAGAAAGAGAGAACCTCAGAAAGAGAGAAAGATGGGGGAGGGTGTTGAGGGG